AAAATATTCAATAGAAAAAGTTAACAGAATTCGATTTTTCTATATAACTTATTTTCTTCAGATATTTTCTATAGAATTTCCTTCGCTCAAATTTTGCAAGTTTTTTTCATTCTATTTTTTGACTTCTCATTAAGAAAACGAAACAAAAATACGTGGAAAATTTGAGTCGAGGAAACTCTATCGAAAATATCTGAATCTATTCATCTATTCAGATATTTTCGATAGAGTTTCCTCGGCTCAAATTTTCCATGTATTTTTGTTTCGTTTTCTTAATGAGAAGCCAAAAAATAGAATGAAAAAAACTTGCAAAATTTGAGCGAAGGAAATTCTATAGAAAATATCTGAAGAAAATAAGTTATATAGAAAAATCGAATTCTGTTAACTTTTTCTATTGAATATTTTCTATGGAACATTTCAATAGACTTGGAATAAGTTCCATAGAAAAATCGAATACTATTGAGTTTTTCTATTGAATATTTTCTATTGAACATTTCGATAGAATCGGCCAAAAACCGGTAGAAAGTTCAATAGAAATCCAATAAAATTTTCTAACGAATTCGCTAGGTTTTTCTATTAAATTTTTTCATCCGTAATTTTATTTTCTTCATGTTTTCATTTAATTTTTTGATATATCTAATGTATTAATACTCTAAATCCGAAATATATTTAGATATGTCAACACTCCAAACTTTTTGTTTGGAGTGTTAACATAGCAATCACTATATGCCGACGCAGTCCCAGTGATTCCCAAATGAACTACTCTCATATTTCCTCCCTCAATTTTCAGTGACATCGGACGGAAAAACATCTTTCGCATTCAAACTTCAGCGACCCCAGTGCTGAGATTCACTTTAGAACCTCAATACTCCTACGAATTCGAGATTGCTCAAGGAGGGATGATCGATCGCATGGGCATGTACGTGAGGGATCGATGGGATCGATTATACCTCGTGTTGATGAGTCTATGTCTATTGATCATCAGTACAAGAATCGATGAAGAAGCGAGTGGAACAAGAATCATGTACTTCATAACGACCTTGGGGATAATCCTTCAGGATTTAGTAGTGGAATTCAGCGCATCTTTAGGATTTCTATATGTTTTGGCTCTATCCACGTGCTTCACAGTGATTTTCTCAGGATCGTTGGTTCACAATTTTGCTGCAAAATTCTTAGCAAGAGCCATTACACTCTTCCCTTTGTCCTGGTACAATTGGCTCCTCAGTGAAGGAACTTATGAACATCTCCCCATTCTGTCTAGCCTCCTGGTGATGTCGTTAATATCCACAAGCTGTGGTGCAATTGCAATGTTGATCTCAGTTATTATTTATCTGCTTAAGTTGACTCGTATGTACGAGGAGTATCTGGAGGAATTGTTAATGTCTTCATTCCAAATCATCACTAAGAAGTTTGACAAGTTCCTAAAGAGTCGAAAATCCCGGAAAAGTAGTGAAGACAACAGTGAAGATATTAATCCTAAGACGAACATCCTGAATCATCTAATATTATTCATCACGTGGAGTCTTGCTGCCATTCCCGCAGTTCCTTCGGTACTTGTATGGGCTAAAAATTTCAGGTGAGTTCGATTTTAAGGACTAGATTCGTGATTTGAATTGAAGTTTTGAGCTACAAAAAAAATTTGAGAATCCACAAAGAAACCACAAAAAACAACTGATTGAATTTAGTTACTCAATTTCAGAAAAAGAAAATTCAGTACTAAAAATATACTTGAGCGAATCCACCAATTCTGAATATAAAATATAGCCTCAAAATTTTAAAACGTTTTTTCTATTTTTTCATGGAAAAGTATAGTCCAAACGAAGAAAAATAAGCGCGACCGGAACTCTTTAATTCAATTATTGGCGGTGATATTGAAGTTTGAATTTTTTTTTCTTCTAAAAACTTTTTCCTTTCAATTTTAATTACGAGCCACAAAGAACAATAAAAAAAAATTGAACCCATAGATTTCGTTGGAAAGTTTATCAGCTTTTTGAAAAAAAAAATGTTTTTTATGTATCTACGTATTTTGGCATAGAAAATTTAAAAAGAAAATTTCAGACGGTCATTTGGAGTCGTTCCCCAACGTTTTTTCTTCATCGTAAAGTTCAGAAAATTTTCTAACAAGAACATATTTTTATTTTTGGCGCTCTCACAAACTCATAGGCGGAATGCAGAGAAAAACAACATTTTGACCTCTCAAAAAATTTAGTTTTTCAAAAATATCTCAAAACCTGAAGGAGATAGAGAAATTAAAAAAAAAAAATCTTTGCCGAGTAGAATGAGTTCTACAAAAAAGCTTTTATCACAATTTTTCCATTTGCCGTATATTCAGACATATTCATTTAAAAATTATCTTAAATCTATCATAAACATCTGAAATTTTGGCTACTAATTAGAATTGTTGAGTCACATTTGTGTAGAAAATCTTCGGGAACCAAAATTTCCTCAAAATGAGAGAAAATGTGAAATATAATTATAATAGACAGATCTTGCAATTATACTATCGATTCAAGGTAAAAACGTTGAGAAGTGGAACTTTTCTCTCAGATTTTCGGAAAAAATCTTCATGGATAAATGAAAATTTTACTCATTTTCAGGATTTGTTACTCGCGAAGTCTGAAATTCACAAGTGTTTACTGTAAACTAGTATATTACAATACAAGGGCGTAAAAGTGTTTTTGACCCCTGGGAAGTGTGTAGCCCTCACCGAAGGCGAGTGCTACTTTCCTAAGGGTCAAAGAACACTTTTGCCACGAGTGTCGAACCCTATTTTTCATCACAATATGTGGAAAGCATGATTTTACGCAGACGGAGCGTGCATAAAATTTCACTTTACGTACAAGTGATGAATTAAAGTTTTTTCTCTCTGTTTCGCTCCATTCATTCGAACAATAAAAAATAATTAATTTCTGAATTTGTTCAGTTACGAATCGAGGCTTTCCACCGAAGATCCAATCATGTTATGGAGCTGGGTGGTGATTACGGGCTGGGGATCCTTGGGCCTCGTTAGAATTCCAAAGAGACATACGAACAAATACATAAACTTAATTGGAGTGAATCTCCAACGAATTCTCGGCTGGTTGTTACTGCTGACTGCTGGATCAAAGAACCCAGCTTTTTATCAATGGACGATTCCCCCCATCGTTGCACTATCGATAACGTGCATCGTAATATTATCGTTATTATCGCGTTTTGGAAGAGAAGAAGATACTCAACAAGAACAAATTGCAGAAAATAATGGAATAATTTCTGTTGTTAATGGACAAACTAGTGTATCCGGAGATAACGAAATTTCTTCGGAGAGTGACGAGGTCAAGGCGAAAGAAAATTAGTATTAGGTCTGAACTAACTGTGATGAACTAATTACCTTCAATGCAGATGAATCTGCATTTAAGTGGTAATTATGTATCCAATTGAGAACAATGGTCTATGACAAGATGTTGAAAAAAATTTTATGTAGCCATTCCAACTTTTGATTTGGCCTCATTAATTTTCCAGATGATCAACAGAATAGGACTAGAATTATCATGTTTCATCTATGAGCTCCATTTAGAATGGTCTTCTGGGAACTTTTAAGTGAAATTAATTTGATATTTTAGAGATCTAGATATTAATTAGATCGTTGTATTAATGAATATTCAACTAAAAGACTGTAAAGTAACGAGTGGAATGGCTATTGATTATTTTCAACTAAAAACGGTGATGTTACATGCGAAGGATGTTGGGAACGATTTTAAAAACTTGTTTGGCATAAGAATAGTTTGAGAATTATGTGATTTCTTGTTCTGGTGGTACTTAAGATCAAAACATTTGAGTATCATTCGATTAAGTTGATGAAAATTCTCAGAGAGAATGATCATTTATCAAATTAGATTTAAACCATCAGCAGCGAAGTGATAAAAACTAATGCGTTACATACGACGTTTCGGTGAATACGTAATCACCTTGATAATGAGTGATCGTAGAGAAAAATATCGAAGGACCCACGTATGAAAAAATTCAATAGGAAACCTAGCGAATTCGCTAGAAAATTCTATTGGAATTCTCTAGGAATTCTATGAGGTTTCTATAGGATTTCTATTATAATTCTATTGAAAAATTCCATTTGTTTTTTGCGCTGATTCTATTATATATTCGATAAGAAAAAGTCAGTAAATTTCGAATTTCTGTTCGAATTTTTCTCTTGAGATTTTTTCTGTAGAATCCCATAGAATTCCTATAGAATTCCAATAGAATTTTCTAGCGAATTCGGTAGGTTTTCTATGGAATTTTTTCATACGTGCCTCACTTCCAATAAATTGAATTTTCTACAAAAAAAAGTATTCTGACATTTTGTCCAGAAATTACTCTTAGTTCAAATAATACCATGTTATCTCAAATAATTTCATCGTAGCCCAAATAGTCTCATGTCGAACAAATGTGACAAATTAAGGTATTAGTGTATCAGTAGTTATAGTTGTAACTGAAAGGAAAATCGTCTTGTCCAATTTGTACGTAATGAGAGCATGGTTGTATATGTGGCATATTCTCCCAATTATCGTCCAATGTTTCGACATCGGTTTTGGGATTGACTTTTAATCTTTACAATTTGTTATGTATGTCAAAAGAAACTTAACCCTAAATTTTCACTCCGATATTTCAATTAATAACCGAGAAAATGCATGTTGAAATTTTTCTCTTTTTTTTTTCAATCAATTTTCACGGCAACAGTTTTCATTCCATGAATAAATGTCACAAATAACTTTTCTTCGGAAATTGTCTGAAGTTTCAGGAAAAAAATTTCCATTCCCGTTCTAGTCTTTTTCGGCCACAAAAAATCGATTTTTTGACAAAATTCAGTGGTTTTTCTGGTCGTCCACCCTCTTGAAAAGAAATTTTTTTTTTCGGAAAGTGTATACTTTTTGGAGTATCTCCACAAATTTTCAAATTGGGACTCTGTCGCAGTTTTCCGGTTTTCCACCTACTAAATGGAGACTTCTTATTTTTCGTCGGAAAGTATATATTTTTTCGAGTATTTCCGAAAATTTTCGGCTCGGGGCGCTGAAAACCAGCTGAGTAAACACATAAAAACGGAGAAGAAAATGAATATTTAATTATAATAATATTTAAAATTTCACGTTTTTTAGCTTTCCACCAAACTGATTGAAATATTATGCTTTTTGTCGGAAAGTATATATTTTTTCAAGTATCTTCACAAATTTTCAGTCCGAGACGTTCAAAATCAGCTGAGTAAACGCATGAATATGGGAAAAAAAAAGATTTTTCAATTATTAGAATATCTCCCAATGCGTGATTTTTCGGTTTGACACACACTTAATATGATGTTTTTGCGCTTGGGAACGGCAAGGGAAAATGAGTTTTGAGGACATAATTATGAGAATGTCCGGAATTTTTGGGTTTCTAGGTGTTCGATTTGGGAATGTTACTTGAAAAAAAATATATCCTCAATAAAAGACAGGAACTTGTCAATTCGATAGGTAAAGGACCGAAAACACTCAATATTTCAACTATAGTCATAACGATATCACTAAAATTCTTTTTTTTTTCGTTTTCATGCGTTTATTCAGCTGATATTGAGCGTCGCAGGCTGGAAATTTGTAGAGATACTTGAAAAAGTATATACTTTCCGACAAAAAGCACAAAATTTTAATCAAGGCGGCGAAAAGTCAGAAAACCGCGAAATTTACAATATTATTATAATTGAAAACTCACTTCGTTCTTCATTTTTATGTGTTTACTCGGCTGGTTTTCAGTGTCCCGAGTTGAAAATTTGTGGAGATACTCAAAAAAATACATATTCTTCGACGAAAAACAAGAAATCTCCATTGAGTGGGTGGACGACTGAAAAATCGCGAAATATCAGATATTCTTATGATTTTTCGAGAGGTTGGACAACCAAAACACTAAATTTTGTTCAAAATTTGATTTTTCATGGCCAAAAAGAGTGAGACGAGAACGGAATTTTTTTTTCTGAACCTTCAGACAATTTCCGAAGAAAACTTACTTGTGACATTTATTCATAAAATGAAAACTGTTGCCGTGAAAATTGATTGAAAAAAAAGGAGAGAAAAATTTAAACATACGTTTTCTCGGTTATCAATCAAGATATCGGAGTGGAAATTTAGGGTTGAGTTTCTTTTGACGTACATAACAGATTGTGAAAATTGAAGGTCAATCCCAAAATTAAAGCCGAAACCCTGAATGATAATTGGGAGAATGTGCCATATATTTGTGAGTTGTACAAATATCGAAATTTGTACTTTTATAGAAAAGATAAAAGGTACCGTAATTCATAGATTTTAAATAATAGACTAATCATTATTAAGATTGATTTGTTTTAACTCATTTTATTCTGTTTATTGATGAAATGTTGATGAGTGTCAGAAAATATCGCATACCTGTTTCACCATTTTATTTCAATTAATTGTGAAATCATAGACCGATTTATTACCTAGTTGCAGTTGATTACCTATACATCTTGAGAACAATAGGATACATAGCGAAATATTAACAGACATTTTTTGCAGATAAAATTTTTTCAAAGAATGTTTCTCGCTAATTTTTCCTAGATCCAATCATTACTGACAAGATGATTCCATAAATTACCCGTAGATTTAATGGTTCGACTTGAGATGGAAGAATAATCCAAGAGTTATGACCATAAGTATCAAGTTAACATCCGATTTCTGCTGTTGAAATTATTTTCTATAAATTACCGACGGCGGTGGCTGTGTGGTTAGAGTGTGGGATTGGCATGCGGGAGACCCGGGTTCGATTCCCAGCTGGGGGGGGCAAAATTTGTAACACTCTAAATCTCACGGTTTCATTGTCGAGCGGGAGTCTTGCAAGAGACGACTGTACATGGGCAGATTTTTCCCTCAAATGAGGTTTTCCCTTGTCCTTCGGCAAATGCGGTACACGGGGTTGGGGGCGGGAAGGGAACAAATCGTAAAGACCCGAAAGGGTATACGAGAAGAAATTTTTTTTTTATTTTCAAGAAATTATTATAATATTTGAGGGACTTGGAATGGCGGGCATTGTTTTCGTATCGAAAAAAAAAAACAAAAACAAATTGGAAATATGTAGAGTGAAAAAAACATTAGAAAACCATGTAGAAAATAAAAGTAGCCCATGGAAGACATAACACTGCTGTTTACCAAGGAGAAGTCAACTCCATTATCACCTTTCCACACATAAGGATTCCACTATTTCAGCCAAACCAATAAATAAATGTCACTCGTGTTAATTTTCATTGGCTTCACCTGGTGATTCATTCGAATGGATTACATTTCTCTTCCGTTAACGTGATAAAAATACGACGATAATAAGTAATTCTATTAATCATTGTTTGAATAAAATAAATTTTACTTTATTTAATAATTGCATTTCTCAAAGTATTTAATATTCATCGCATAGCACTTATGCTTTTATATTGACAAAATCGTCGAATGTAATGATCGATCCATACACATCTGCATGTGGACGGAATTTCACTTTTATAAACCATTCAAGAGCCAACAATATTCAGAGAAACATTTTAGCCTTTTAAAATAATGATAATGATAACGCTAGTAGAAATAATAGTGATGATAGAATTAATAATAAAGCATAAAAAATGAACGAGACTCGCATTGCCGTCAACTATTTCTCAAAATATTGTTAACTCATACAATGTTTGCAATTTTATAAATTTGTTCCATCCCTAGGAAGTTACTCTATGAATTATGCATTACAAATCACTGAATTAGGCGGTTTTGTTACTTATTAATAGTCCAAAGCCCACTCGTTGTCCTGCAAGAACGAGTCAACTACTTCCTTCATCGACAGATTTGGGATTAACTGGTCCTGAGTGAGACGAACACGTGTTACTGGATCAAAGTGGCCTACACGCTGGAGATGCTCCTCGATATCTTTACGCTCGTATGTTATTCCACTAGGCGTTATTACTGGCTCCTGCAGAATCTCGAAGCTTATTTTGCCACAAAGGTAATCAGGGACTTCTCTTTTCTGTCATGAAAATTTAACAATTTTTTAATTGAGATATATTGAAAGTGAGATGCAGTTCATTTTACATCTCACATACTTAAAACACTGTCTAGAAAATTTTGTCTATCAGAAAACTTTCAGTGAACAGATTTCCTGGTGAACATCTTTAAACTTCTACCTTTTAGAAGAATTAGAAAAATAATCTCTCATAGTAGTCGAAGTAAAATAAACAAGTTGGGCAGTATAATGTAAAAATTATTAGTTGAGTGAATGAATTACCCTTCGTCTCTCATCAACTTTAGCAAACAAATCGTTCAATCTCGTAATGGAAGTCTCTTTTTTATTTTCAATCTCAAGCCTAGCGACTGAGGCTGCTAAAGCATTAGCTGACGCCTCTTCTCCATTATTTGCCTCACCACCAATCTCCTCACGCTCTGTGGATACCGACGACTGTTGCTCCTCCAGGGCAGTTAATCTTCTTTCAGCATCCTCAATAATCAATTGATTCAAATATGTTTGCAATTCAATATCCTGTGCCAAACGTTGCTCTTCTCTCAACTGAAATCGACGTTTTCTTGCCTGTCTCAGGACGCTGGTTAAATCATCTCCGTAATTGAGCTTCTGCTCTTTTGCCAAGTCAACAGCTAGAGCCATATTTTGATAAATTAATTAATAATTAACTCAAAAGCCGATTAATGAATTAAATAATCTAAATGATAACATCTTTCATCAAATTACATTGTTATCTAAAAAATGAATGTTTTTTTTTAGAAAAAAAATGTCAGATCTTTTCTAAAATTCTTTTGATACAGATACTTCCTTATAGTATCACTTATTATCATGAGAATGCAGCAGATGAAAATTTTTTATTGTCGTTACAAATACCTCGTTGCAAATGTTTAATAGCCTCATCATAAGACTCCATCTCCAGGAGGGCTAATCCAAGGAAGAAATGCCCCTTGACCAAACAAGGGTCCATATCTAAAGCATGTCGACAGTCTTGGCACGAAGAATCCCATCTCTTCAGCTTCAAGTGACACAATGCACGATTCGTAAAATACTGAGCCTGTCCTGGATTTTTTATCTAAAAAAAATATCAACGATTGCAGAATTTTGGGCGTCACATGACTAACGAACCTACTAAATACGTAATATTCTCTCGTTACTTTTGTGAGCTTACAATAGCTTTTGTGTAACAATTAATTGCATCTTCATACTTGTGGAGGCCAAATAAACGATTACCCTGTTCCTTGAGTTCCTTATCCGTTAAATTAGCAGTTGAGTACATTTTACTCATTTTAAATATAGTATTAATAAACTAGATTAATAAACAGAGCGCTGTAGAGTAACAACACACACTCAAAGAACTGCGCACTCCACAATTCCAGTTTTAATGTTTATTTTAGTCAGGTGTTTTCGCGGAATTCTTCAATGTTCGGGTTTAGCCCCCCAACTTTTACGCCATTTCACATTTTGGAGCACTGGAACTTGATGTGTTTCTCACTTGTGTTTTGCGGATCATTCACATAAAAATTGTGGACACCTAACCTTACCCAATAATTTAGATTTTTCTTTGTTATCAGCGGGGCTGAGAGAGGAGGGGGGATTATAGAAATGGCCCACAGCCCAGCTACTTACAGCTAGCAGGGGGTAGGGAGGAATGCAAATTTGGTTTATTACAATCGCTTGGTGGTTCGAAGGTGGTCAAAGGTAGTCCACTTTTAACTTTTTGGTGGTAAAAATCAATTAATTATAAATAATCAAAAATTTCACCTGAGGCCAGCGGGAAGGATGCATGTTTTTGAAAAATTCAATATATGAATTTATATGTAGAATCCTGTGGTGGTCAAAGGTCAAAAAAAAAAATTCTAAGAGAATTAGAATTTAGAGAGAAAAAATTTCCGCTTCACCCAGCCGGGAATCGAACCCGGGTCTCCCAGATACGCGCCGGGCACTCTTACCGACTAAGCTACCGGGAACCACAGAAATTCACTCTCAAATTCACCTCATACACCGCCTAACCTCCTTTAGGCATTAAAGAATTCTAAGAGAATTAGAATTTAGAGAGAAAAAATTTTCCGCAACTTCCCATGAGCCGAAAAACCCATTACGCACTTGTTGCGTGATATACTATTCTATCACTGTAGATTTTGTAACCTTCAAACGTGCTCCGAAATGATTTAAAGGGTCCGGAGTGGGAAGTGGTGGGGGGAGTACCTCTCGGTAAGACAGACCCGATAAACATTATTTATTATCAGTTGAAAAAATGAACGGATGAATTTGGTGTTGGGCCACCTTTGACCACCACAGGATTCTACATATAAATTCATATGTTGAATTTTTCAAAAAGATGCATCCCTCCCGCTGGCTGCAGGTGATATTTGTGATTATATATAATTAATTGATTTTTGCCACCAAAAAACTAAAAGTGGACTACCTTTGACCACCTTCGAACCACCAAGCGATTGCAATAATCCAAATTTGCATTCCCCCCTTCCCCCTGCTAGCTGTAAGTAGCTCCACAGCCCCCACACAGCTTTTCAGAAACCATGCGGGTGGGTTTTCACTCGTATCGGACAGTCCGCAAATGACAGCGACTCGTCCGCTAAATTCAGCGACATACTCGAGCGAAAGGCGGCAAAATTCGAACATTGCTTTGTTTATCATGAACATCAGTAGACATTTCCTCCTAAAACCCCAAATTTTCAGCATAGTTGAATAGGCACTCCGTCTAGTCTGTAATTTCTCATTGCATTTGGATCCAATTATTGAACTTGTATTGATTAATTATCCAATTTTCAAATTTTGGCGCCTTTCGGTTAGGTGTGTGTTTCGCTGACAATAAAAATAGCGGACGAGTCGCTGTCATTTTCGGGGACTGTCCGCTAAAAGTTGCCCGTGGAGCGCTAAAGCACTCTGCTCACTGGAAGCGGGAAGGTTCAAAATAACGTTGTCGCCACTCGGTTTATTTCACTTTTAAAACTTTGTACTTTGAATCAAAATTATTCGGAGACTTCAAGAATTCAATTACAATTAGAGGAAGTGTTTCCTCTTCGAACGTTGAGACAGGAGTGTTCTTACTTCTAGCTTCTGGTTCTTACGCTACTTTACAGAAATTTCTTAAGTCTAAGTTGCAACCCCTAAGACGTGGTAGGGAGCCAATCACAGCGCTACTTATTCCGAAGGGCTGGCCTTTTCACCCCGACAACGCTTGACCTCTAGGACCCACCTACTCTCTAGTGGCGTCGCTTGTGACGTAGGGCCCAACGTGGCAAAAAGGGGGGAAGGAAAACATCTGGCATCGAGAAGAGAAGTTTTGGGGGCGAAAAGAAGGGGAGGACGTTTTCTCCCGGCTTAGGATTTGAGGGAGTCTCTAGACTCATTAAGGAAAGTTGTCAATGGTTTTATGATAGGGTTCTACTCGGAAAGGTCTCTTTGTGGCGACTGGGGCGTACGAAGACCAATGAAAAACTTTACAACGAGGTTGACAATAAACAGGGAGCGAGAGAGAAATTTAATGGAAATTGGAAGGTCATACAGACCATTTAGAAAAGACTTTTACGATGGGATTAAGAAATTCGAGAAAAAATAATTTCGAAGAGGAAATTTTAGTTTCGCGAAGGGCGTCATTAAACAATAACCATTTGTCACCTTTTCGTTCGGGCTGTCACAGTGTCTAGACATCTGGGAATATTCCATTTATGTCTTCAAGTTCCTATCCTTTTCTAAATTCAATTTATTCCCATGGGTATTTGTTAAATTAAATAAATTTATTTTCTATTATTTACATATATTTTGATCAATCAAATACGCGACATTTTGACGTTGAGTTCGAATAATTCCCGCGGAGCACGAGCTCCACTAGGGAATAGTTGGGGAAATTATATTACTAATACGACTTATACAACACAACACTGCGCGCAGTGGCAGTAACTGTAACTGCGGATTTAGTCAGCGAGACACACCTAAACGAAAGGCGCCAAAATTTGAAAATTGGATAATTCATCAATGTAAGTTCAATAATTGAATCCAAATTCAATGAGAAATTACAGACTAGGCGGAGTGCATATTCAAATATGCTGAAAATTTGGGGTTTTGTGAGGAAATGTCTACTGATGCTCATGATAAACAAAGCAATGTTCGAATTTTGGCGCCTTCCGCCCGAGATTTTGAAATTTTGAATTTTGAAAAAAATACATATTTTTATTCTATGGAATCTAACGAACATTTTGAAAAAAGGAAAGTTTGAATCCGATGAAAATTGTGGTGCGAGGGGCATTTTGAAGCCAAAAACACGAAAAACGTGGTTTTCCTTGACTATCAGGAATACCATTTCGCAGCCAGAATTTCAGCACCTTTGCATTTCCATTCTCGAGTTATGGGCACAGTTCTGGACAAACGAACACAAATGTGCACACACATGCATATAGACATTTTTAAAAAACATTTCTTCTTCATGTCTCATGATATTTCTAGGCATTTCCACCCAAAATTAGGAAATCGAAAAAATCCCAATTACAAAAGTTCCATTCGGAAGCAAAAAAATGTCAATTGAATAAGTCATCTATAAAAATAAAACAACTTTATTCTAACAAATAGTATGCCTCGAAAAATCACGCGACAAGTCTGCGAAATTTTCCGTAGAGTCAGCAAAAAAATTGATAGAATTTGAATTCAAATGGAATTCCGTGAATTCACAAAAATTTCCAAGTCAAAGCGCTAACTTTTTATATTCAATTTTTTGAATTCTCACCCACGGACAATAGCTTTAGTTGCCTTCAAAAACTAAATTTAATTACGAAATATTTATTTATGAGAATTTGTACTAATAACTGAGTCAATTAACAATAGATAGATCGGTATTGTCATCATCAGTAATTGCGTAAATCCAGATTGGCTCAGTCGAATTGGGATGTTGTCCATGAATGAGTCCGATTTCGATGTGATTCTGTAGATACTCCATCATCTTGTTAGCAATAAATCGATTAAGCTTGTGGACCTCTGGACTATTCGCATATTCATCCAACTGAAAAACATGGTAGGATGGTCAAAATTGTAGATTTCGTATCATTGAAATTTGGGAGAAGAGTAGCTAGATAGAAGAATTCCCCACTTTCTTAGGAGATAAAATTTTATACCTTCATCCAAATACATTCAGAGACTTCTCGATCACATTTTTTTATTTCCAGTGTTTCAGGAACCATTCTGGCCACTATGTAAATATCACTACAGCCAAATGCATAATTATGAGCATGGCGGAATGCAACTAACGATTTGAATGTAGCTTTAATTCCCGTTTCTTCTAGTAATTCTCTTTGTGCTGCTTCAGGAATATTTTCACCTTGAAAGCAACGAATAAATAATGTTAAATTTTCATGATAAACCTTGAATTCATTACGTGAAATGCTAAAAAGAAGACCGGAACAAGTTCGGAAATTAATTTGTAAATATCTTAGAGATGAGATTGACAATATTGGAGATAATTTTTGTAGACTATTTAAATGTCATGCGAGAAAAAATGTACTGACATTTTCTCCTAAAACTCTCCCTATTCCAGATATATCTGCAAAATAATTCGTGGCGAATGTTGTCTGATTATCTCAAGTTCTTCATCAATTTACTATATCTCTATACATATTATCATAAAACTATTATACATAGTATTATAAAAATCCAAATCGACTTCTGGTGATAAATCTGTTGTGAATTGGTAAACTAGGATAAGTGCATTTTTTTCGAAAATGCGTTTTTTGGCCAAATCGCTTCCCAACAATGGTCTGCTACTACCCACGAGGGGATTTAGCGAAAAAACAAAAATTGACCCCAGTATGAAGAAAAAGTGAGAAGTGCATTAACTTGTTGGAAGATATGTTGACTTATCTTCCGAAGTGGAACCGATGGGAAAAGGATAAGTTGACTTATCTTTCTGGTACATTGGTGACCCTCATGTCTGGTTTCCGCACCTAACCCTCGTAACCCTTCCTTTGACCCTTTCACCTAATTCCAG